CCATGGCATAGACATGGTGGGGGCTGAGTGGAGCTCTGGATTGCCTGCTTCCAACAAAATCATGCTTGGCTCTTTCATCCCCACACTAGTTGCTGGCTTTGTGTGCCACAAAAGGATCTATGCCTTAGCAGAAAATCCATTTTACCTACCACTCAGTGACATATAAGATTCCTGGAGCCCTCAAATTAGAAAGTGTGTTAGTTAGAATTCAACCAGAGAAACAGAACCAGTAAGAGTTATATTTGGAAATTTACTTCGAGGAATTGGCTTGAGCAACTGTGGGGGCTGGCAAGGCAAGTGTGAATCTACATTGTAAGCCAATAAGGAGGGTGGGCTACAGGAAGAGCATGCTGGGGTTCAGCAGAGGCTGAAACTTCATCCACAGATAGAATTGCCTCTTCCTCAGGGAAGCCTCAGTTCTGCTCTTATTAAACCTTTTGAACTGACTGAATCAGGCCTACCCAGGGTACCTAGGATAATCTCCCCTAAAGCCAGTTGATGGCAGACTTTATTGTAACTCCAAGATACCTTCCCAGCAACATCTAGATTAGCGTTTATAAAAACTAGGAAGCCTAGTCAAGGTGACACAAAAGCGACCATTGCAGAGGGTAGGCTCCTAATATCTGTATAAGACACATTTTGAATATCTTCAGGAAGTGATAGGAACCATACTGCCCATATCCCCAAATCTCCAATCTCTCTAGCTAACACCTCAACAGGAGCAATAATTAGAACTTAATTTCATAATTATTATTTATTCACCCAAGTTTTATTGCTTAGATACAAAATAGTTGATTTTGAGCCAAATTTTCCTAAAATGTTCCATAGATAATATAATATTCCAAAAATATATTCAGGAATAACTTATAAGTAATGGAGTTAACACATTTCTGCTTTAGGCAATATATTCTGTTGACTCCTTATCAACCACTGCAGAAAAGAGAGATTAGAGCAGAACTAAATGAAATCAATAACAAAACTGTACAGAAGATTAATAAAACAAAAAATTGGTTATTTGAAAAGATAAATAAAATTGGCAGGCTTCTTGCTAGATTAACCAGAAGCAGAAAAGAAAGTACTCTATAATAAACTCAATCAGGAATGAAAAAGAAATTACAGCTGATAACACAGAAATACAAAATATCATCTATGAATACTCTAAAAATCTCTACACATGTAAACTTGAAAATGTGGAGGAAATGGACAAATTCTTAAGAGGACACAGCCTCCCTAGGCTCAATAAGAAAGAAATCGAATTCTTGAACAGACCAATATTAAGTACCGAAATGGAAGCAGCAATAAAAACCTTCCTAAAAAAAAAAAATGCTGGACCAGATGGTTTCACACTCAGATTTTACCAGACCTAGAAAGAAAAACTGATGCCTATCCTGTAGAAATTATTCCACAACATCAAGAAAGAAGGAATCTTCCCTAACATGTTTCACAAAGCCAATATCACCCTGATAACCTCAGCCAGCACCATGCTGAATGGGGAAAAATTGAAAGCATTCCTGCTTAGAACTAGAACTAGACAGGAATCAACAACAAAAAATAAAACTACAGGCCAATATCTCTTATGAATATAGATGCAAAAATTCTAAATAAACTAGCAAATTGAATTCAGGTGCTTATCAAAAAAATAATGCATCACAACCAAGTGGGCTTCATCCCAGAGATGCAGGGATGGTTCAACATATGCAAATCTATAAATGTAGTTCACCATATAAATGGAAGTAAAAACAAAGACCATTATGATCCTCTCAATAGATGCAAAAAAAGCATTCAACAAAATTCAGCACCCTTTTATGATAAGAAAATAGGCATAAATGGGACTTCATTCAAAATTATAAAAGCCACATACACCAGACCCTCAGCCAATATCATACTGAAAGAGGAAAAATTGAAAGTATTCCCACTTAGAACTAGACCCAGACAAGGTTGCCTTCTATCACCACTTATATTCAACATAGTGCTGGAAGTCCTAGCCAGAGCAATCAGATAATAGAAGGAAATCAAGGGCATCCAAATGAGGAAAGAAGAGGTCAAACTTTCACTCTTTGTTGACGATATGATCTTATATCTAGAAAACCACAAAGATTCTGCCATGAGACTACAGGAATGGATACACAAATTCAGCCAAGTCTCAGGTTACAAAATCAACATACACAAATCAGTAGCATTCCTATATGCCAACAATAGTCAAAGTGAGAACCAAATCAAAGACTCAATACCTTTTACAATAGCAACAAAGAAAATAAAATACCTAGGAATAAATTCAAGGAGATGAAAGACCTCTACAGGGAGAACTACAAAACACTGAGGAAGACAATAGCAGAGGATGTAAATAGATGGAAAACCATACAATGCTCATGGGTTGGCAGAATCAACATTGTTAAAATGTCTATACTACCCAAAGTGATCTACAGAGTCAATGCAATCCCTATTAAAATACCAACATCATTTTTCACAGCAAAAATAATTCTACACTTCATATGGAACCAGAGAAGACCCCTTATAGCCAAAGCAACCTTCAGCAAAAAGAACAAATTGGGAGCCATCAATTTACTGGACTTCAAGCTATACTGGACTTCAAGCTATACGAGGCAACAGCAACCAAAATGGCATGGTATTGGCATAAGAACAGAGACATAGACCAGTGGAACAGAACTGAGAACCCAGATATAAAACCATCCTATAGCCATCTGATCTTTGACAAAGCAGACAAAAACATACACTGGTTAAAAGAATCCATATTCAATAAATGGTGCTTGGAAATTGAATATTCACATGTAGAAGACTGAAATGGAATCTGCACCTCTCACTTCTCACAAAAATCGACTCATGATGGATAACAGACTTAAACCTAATGCATGAAATCATAAGAATTCTAGAAGAAAATGTTGGAAAAACTCTTACAGACATAGGCCTAGGCAAACAGTTTATGAAGAGGACCTCAAAGGCAATCACAGCAGCAACAACAACAACAAAAGTGGGACCTGATTACATTAAAAAGCTCTGCACACCCAAGGAAGCTATCATTAGAGTGAATAGATAACTTACAGAATGAGAGAAAATATTTGCATACTACACATTCGATAAAGGGCTGATAACTAGAATCTATATAGAACTCAGGAATGTCAAGAAAAAATCAAACAACCCCATTAAAAAGTGGGCAAAGGACATGAACAGAAACTTCAAAAGAAGTCAGACTAATGGCCAGCAAACATATGAAAGAGTGCTCAATATCTCTAATCATCAGGAAAATGCAAATCAAAACAATGAGATGTCTTAACTCCAGTGAGAATGGCTTTTATCAAAAAGTCCCCAAAAAAACAAATCTTGTCATGGATGCAGAAAAATGAGAACACTCACATACTACTGGTGGCACTGCAAACTAGTACAACCTCTATGGAAATTAATATGGAGATACCTCAAAGAACTGAAAGTAGAACTACCCTTTGATCCAGCAGTTCCACTAGTGGGTATCTACCCAAAGGAAAAAAAGACATTCTATAAAAAAGACATCTGCACTTGGAAGTTCATAGCAGCACAACTCACAACTGCAAAGATGTGGAAACAACCCAAGTGCCCATCAATACATGAGTAGATTACTAAAATGTGGTATATGTATACCATGGAGTACTCCTCAGCCACGAAAAACAATGGTGAACTTGTATCATCCTGGATGGAGCTGAAGCCCATTCTTGTAAGTGAAGTATCACAAGAATGGAAAAACAAGTGCCACATGTACTCACCATTAAATTGATACTGTAATAATTGATCAACACTTATGTGCACATATGGAAGTAACATTCATAGCGCATTGGGCAGACAGGAGGGGGGAGAAAGTGAATTCACACCTAATGGGTACAGTGTGCAATGCCTGGGGTTTGGGCACACTTGTAGCTCCAATTTGGGTGGTGCAAAAGCAATGTATGTAACCAAAGCATTTGTACTCCTGTAATCTTCTGAAATTTTTTAAAAGGACATTAAAAGTAAAAAGCCACTGCATAGTATTTATTAAGTAACTAACTGGTGGGTCTGATGCCATTTATGGGATGATAATCTGCATCTCAAGCAGATTTATTCTGCAGTTCCTCAGCAGGATTTATTTTGAGGCCTTTGGGATGATTATAATGTGCCTTTCCCCCTTGATAAAAAGAGTTTTATAATGTTCATTGTAAAAAAAAAATTGTATAATACTGAAAGAGGTAAAGAAGAAGATAACAATCCTAAGCTACCACTCAATTACTAATATTTTGATATATATCCTTTTGTGTATTTATAATCTATAAAATCATACTACTTAATGTAATTCTGAATCCTGTTTTTTTACTTAAGATTATTTTGTGATTAAATAATCCATGTAATTATTTGTGAATATTTTAATGATTCCATATAACTGTACCATGATTTATTTAACCATTCCCTCATTGTTGAACATTTACATTATTTCCAATCATTTATAATTCTGAAGAATGCCAGAGCGAACATCTTTATGTTAAATCTTTGTACATATTTATGAGTGTTACCTTAGTATGTGTTCTTAGAAGTGAAATTATAGGAAGGAAGTATGAAGTGTATAAGGCTTTTGATACACGTTGATAAGTTGTTTTCCAGGTTTTTGGATTACCTGGTGATACTTGACAACATTTAGAAAACATCATTTGAGAAATGGCATAGTCAATATAATTATTTCCTTAAGTCTTATGAGCTACTTAGCATATTTATCTTGAAATGGAAATAATTATTTGTCTCTTTAAAATATAAGATACCCATTTCTCTATTTGTTGTTGACACAACCCAGAATTTGCACCTGTTCTTTTCTCTAAGCCACAAATGTGTAGGACACTTGACTTTCGCTAGTGGCTTTCATCTGCCTCCCCAAGTGATATCAACTGCTACCATGCTCTCGCTTGGCCTTATCAGTGACAAGGGTCTTCAGAAAGAACAAGCCCATTAGTGCTGAGTCATGGTGTGGGAGGGATAGGTCTCTTCAGCTAGCAATTAGTTACCTTCTTCTTGTGCTCCGTCCCCATCCAACATTGCTTAGGAAGAGTCTTTGAGATCTAATTAAGATCCGTTTCCTTGCCCTGTCACAGTGCCCTATAAGGACCACCAGGCAACAATGAAGGTTCTTTTACTAAAAGATGCTAAAGAAGATGATGGTGGCCAGGATCCATATGTCAGGGTAAGTGGCCTGAGACTCCTCGTTCCGTAAAACACATAGCGTCCTTACTAATGGAGTCAAGGGGGGCTGGAGCTGGCAGGGGAGGGTTCTGTGAAAACTCAGAGGAACTGGCACAGGATCAATTGTGATATCATGACCTTTATTTTCAAAACAGCCCTGGCCAATCCAGAACTATATTCTTTCGTTTTCAGGAATTAGGATTATATGGACTTGAAGCCACTTTGATTCCTGTTTTATCATTTGAGTTTTTGTCTCTTCCCAGTTTCTCTGAGAAGGTAAGGCCTGTCTGAGCACCAGGTTAGTGTTTGGATTCTTGCCAGCCCAAGCCAAAATGACTATTTTATTACCCCGTCAATTTTTTTTAAAACCAAACTTTAAAACAAAGGCAGCAGAACCTTACCTGGCTCCAGGAGACTGCTGCTGCTGTTATTCTTTGGCTGAGCTTCTACCAACTCTTCCAGAAAGCCACCCAGACCTGGAGATCAGGGCCCAGAAGAGCAGGTCATGGTGAGAACACCAAACCTGCATTGCTTTCAACAGTCCTAGAACCCTTTTATTCATACTCTCATTTAATTTAGCCCCACCCCCAACCTCTGCAAAGCAGGCCATACAGGTAGGTGTGCTTTTCCCATGTTAGGCACTGGGGTCCCAGGTTAGGCAACTTAGCCGAGGCCTCCAGCAAGTGAGAGACAGGGCTGATATTCAAACCCAGAGCTTCTGCCCACAGCTTCAGTTATGCTTCCTGTGTAAGGGTGACAGATATTGCAGGAGACAAGCCCAGTAAAGCCTTCCAAATGTTTCATAGTAAAGATTCAGTGCCCACAGCTTCAGTGACGTTGGATGTATACAACAGCCCAGTGCCTGGCTCAGAATAAATAAATGTTCAGTAGGTAACATCACCATTATTATCTTTGAAAATCAGGGCTTCAGTATGGATATCACCTCCTGAATAGTCATGTTATTAAATATACAGGTCAAGTCTGCCCTCCTGCCTGCACGCCACCCAGTCCAAAGCTGAGCCAGGCTTGCCCTCTTGGCTGCAGTGACACTACCCCATTTCTGTCTCTCCCCTAGACTGTGAGCTTCCTAAGGGAAATGCTATGAATAATGAATTCACCTGTGTATCCTAAAAAGCCTAGAATAAATAATTCCAGCACTCAATAAGTGTTGGGTGGATGGGTGGAAGGAATTCGTTTGCCTTTGACTTTTGTGAAGCATTTGGAATTATGGGTCATAGCTTCTTGGGAGATGTTGAACTTAGCCATCATATAAAATACCTTTATTGCTTTTTGGTGTGCAGCTGTCTCATCCTGAAGGTTACGGGGGACTCATTTTTACCAGCCCCAGAGCAGTGGAAGCAGTGGAGTTGTGTTTGGAGAAAGACAATAAAACAGAAGGTGAGGGCAGGTCTGCTGTGAATCCCATTAGACTTGTATCTACTCTTATTTTTCCTGCTGGGAGACTAGATTCTAGAAACAGCTACATTTCTAACAGGAGTAGGTGCTTAGTGATGTCAGCTCACAGACACTTTTTTGGGAACCAGGTGACGGGGCTGTCTCCTAAAGTCCCAGACATATGTCACCGAGGGAGAATCTTAAATGTTCACCTGCTGGACATTCATATCTCCCCTTAGAATATATCAGGCACCTCTTCCTCTGAAAATAGGATAAATACCAGTTTCATCAAAGGGATGATGAGGAAATACAACAATATATGAAAATGATCAGTGCCATGGCTGGTGTTTAGAGATGCAGTCATCTCTTTGAGCATTCTTCCCACCTCCTTCCTTCTCCATCAAAACAGTATGAAAATGGCACTGCCCATTGACAGGACCCCGGGTTTCAGTCTGAACAAGCCCCTTCTTAGTAAATGCGATTGAACAGCTTACTAGCTAACATTTATGGAGTGTCTGTGTATGTCGGACTCTGTGTTAAATCCTTCCCACTTATTACCTCATTTAACCCTGTATAAAAATCCAGAGGCCCACAGTACTATGATCTCATACTACCATTGAGAAAACGGAGGCTGGGAAGAGTAAGCACTTGTCCAAGGCCACAGAACCAGTGAGTGCAGAGCCAGGCTTCAAACCCCGGCCGGCTGCCTGCAGAGTTATACTCACACGCAGAGGCAGCAGGGAGAGGGGCTGCCAGAGAGCTGTGGGGAGAGTTAGTCTTGGGCTCGTGCAGCCACTCTGACCTGGGCAAGTTCCTTGACCTCTCTGCACATCAGTTTCCTTGTCTTTAAAGTGGACATAATAACATCTGCGATTATTACTTCTACTGTTAGCTAAGTGGAACTTATTGAGTGCCCACTCTGTGCCAGACACTGTCCTGAATGCTTTATCCTGTGAGGTAGGTACGATTAGTACTTCCGCTTGGCAGATGAGGGCCCGAAGAAGAGAGGGTATGGAACTTTCCAAGACCACACAGTCTGTAAGTCGCAGGTTCACGATTCAAGCATCTGGGACGTTACCTGGAGCAGAGTGGGCACCGAGTAAGTGACGGTGGCGAATGGTTATTTTTCTCTCTCTTCATATTTAACGAGGCTTTACATCATAGCCTAAACATATCACCTTCTTGGTGATGTCATGTACACATTCACCGCCTGTTGAAGAGAAAGTCTGATATTTTTCTTAGGAATGAGGACCCTAAGAAACTCGGAGCTGGAAGTGCTGTTGATTCCAAAGCAGGGAAGCATGTGTACTTCTCCCCAGTGGTGCTTCGGGGTGCTTTGTCTCACCATTGTACTTTTCCTTTTGTATGCGCTTTGAGGATGAAGGTAATAAAAAAGAGGAAAACTCCAGAATGGTCATTGAAACTTTTTACAGTGCTTTTTAGTTTAAAAATCATTTTCCATGTGTTTTCTGATTGTGATTCTCATGACAACCATATGGGATAGGCAGTAGGAGCATAGTGGATCCCAGTTACCTTGATGCAGAAACAGATGAGACAAGCTGGGCTGCCTGACTTGCAGGGCACACACGAGGAGCCACGGGGCAGAGCTGGCTCCACAGCCTTGTGACCCACCCGGCACCCACTCCAGTCATTCTGCCTCGAGGCTGGGAAAAGGGTTTATTCACAGGCTATGGGTAATTGTTTAATAAATATTTCTGGAGTAAGAAAGAAAGT